CAGCCGCCGACGCAAACAGTGTGTGTGTGTGTGTGTGTTGTGTGTGTGTGTGTGTGTGTTTGTGTGTGTGGTGTGTGTGTGTGGTGTGTGTGTGTGTGTGTGTTTGTGTGTTTGTGTGTGTGTGTGTGTGGTGTGTATGGTGTGTGTGTGTGTGTTGTGTGTGTGTTGTGTGTGTGTGTGTGTGTGTGTATGTGTGTGTGTGTGTGTGTGTGTGTTTGGAGGGGGGGGGGGGTCGGGCCCATTTCCGTCTCTTCCGCCAGGCTCTAAGCAACCACTGCACACCGACCGCGGACTTCTGCTGTCGCTCTCACCTGCAACGTCAGGTGGCTTTTCTCGCCCCCACGTGGCCCAGCAGGACTTCGCGACGGTGCTGTCACTTCGCCGGCAGCGGGCAAACATATATGTCGGGCCCTCTTCTCTTCTCCTCCGTGCGGTCGCTCCGCCCTGGCTCGGCGTATGGCCTCTCGTTGGCACTCCCTGCTGGCGCGCGCACCCGCCCTGGCGCCTGTTGGGCCCCCCTCTCCACACCCTCAGGGCGCTGGCATGCTGCTTTCTGGCGCTTCTCGCACGCCTGACTGGCCCGGAAAGGCCAAGCGGCCACGCTCCCCCTGGCTTGCCCTGGCGCCTCGTGCCCCGGCGGCACCTCCACGGGTGGCGGCAAGGGCAGCGTCGTGGGGCTGGTCCCCGGTGGGCGATGCTCCTCTGGTGCGGCACTCCCTTGCCCTGCGAGGGTGCCTCCACCCCTCGGCGTGCGGCGGGCACCGTGCGGCCCCTCGTTCTCGCGCCCGCGTGCCGCGGGCGCCGCTGGCCTCGGCTCGGCTCGCCTCTGGCCGCCGCTCGGGCTCCTCTCGGGCCAGCTTGCTGGTCCCGGGCGGTCGTGAGGATCGAATCGAAGGCCAGAGGAGCTTCACCGCCTGCAGCTGCGAGGCTGTCGCCTGGCTGGCGCGCCTGCCGCAATCCGCCTCACAAGGGCCGTGTCGTCGGCCGCTCGTCCTGCGCGTGCTCACTCGCGCTCCTCCGGTCGCCACGTGGCTTGCCCGGGGGTGGCGTCGCCTGCAGGCCCCCTTTTACTTCACGCCCGCCGCCAGCGCACCCGCGGCCGCGGCACCCACCTGGGTGGAGCCGTGGTCGCTGCACGTGGCCGCCAGCCAGGCCTCCTCCTCCTCCTCCTCCTCCTCCTCCTCCTCCTCCTCCTCCTCCTCCTCCTCCTCCTCCTCCTCCTCCTCCTCCTCCTCCTCCTCCTCCTCCTCTCCCTGGATCGCCAGCCAAGCCTCCCGTCGCGGGGCCCGTCCTGCGCCTGCCCGCACGGCCGGTCTCGAGTGGTCCTTCGGGCCTGCCGCGGCACGCCCCAGGCCGCCCCACGTTTGGCGGGCCCGGGCTTCTTGCCGCGCCTGCAGCGGGGCGTGCGTGTACACTGCCCGCCTCTCCCGCGTTTCTCTGCTTGGTGGGCATCGTTGATCCGACCCCCCTCCCCAGCGGCGTGGCCTGGGCCCCACTGGCCGATTTGCCCCCCTGGATGGGGATGTGGGCTGTTCTCTTCGGGTTTCGAGGGGTGTATCCCCAACTGGGGTGGTAATTTGGTGGGGGTCTCGAGGGGGATGCGGATGGGGATGGGGGTCGGTGAAACGATACTGCGGTGAAACGATACTGACTCGGGGCTGTTTTGAGTGTCCATCCGCCACCGTGCGCCACCGTGCCGTCGGCCGCGGGCACTGAGCGGAGTGTCCGCAGGTCCCTCCGAATTCTTTGCGTTGAACCTTGTGGGCGCTTGGCTGGGGCCCCGACCCCCGTAACTCTGGGCGCTCCTGGGGATCCCCGCGCGGCTTTTCCAGGCCTCGGGGGCGTGGTTTGCAGGATCAGTCAGCAGCAATCGGGAAGTCCGATCGAATCTAGGGCTCCCAACTTCGCGCTTCGCGCTGCGCGAAGCGCGAATAACTTCGCGCTCTCGCGCCGCCCTCCCAAAGGGAGAATAGGAGGACGAGGAGGAGGGGGAGAAGGAACGAGGACCGCGAAGCGCGAATAACTTCGCGCCCTCGAGGGAGCCCTTGTCGAATGGGGATCTTTGTCGGATCGGGCTGCATCGGCACGGAGTCGGGATGGAGTCGGATCGGCAGCGCCAGGATGCTCAACAGCGCCATGCAGGCGTCGGGTCGCATCGGATCGTCGGGACGCAAACATCGAACCGGATGGGGCCAGCCGAAGCTAGGGCTCCCAACTTCGCGCTTCGCGCTCCGCGAAGCGCGAATAACTTCGCGCCCTCGCGCCGCCCCCCCAAAGGGAGAAAAGGAGGACGAGGAGGAGGGGGAGAAGGAAGGAGGACGGCGAAGCGCGAAGCGCGAATAACTTCGCGCCCTCCTGGGAGCCCTTGCAAACATCGAATCGGATGGGGCCAGCCGAAGCAGGCCCCGACCCGCATCGAGATGGACCCTGGGCTCGGCATCCACGCTTCCGACATGCCTTGAGGTGGTCTCGGGGCCCGTCCTGGAGCCCTCGTGGAGACCTCGTGGCCCGCCTCTGAGGCTGGCCTGCGAGGCCAACAGCACCGGAGCACCTTGAACTTTGGGAGCGCCTTCCGCATCGCCGGCGCGTTTTTTCTTTCAAAAAATAAAAATATAACAAATCAGCAACGGCCCAGGCGGCCCCAGATCTTGTACCAAGACGGCCTCTGAAGCTCCCAAAAGGGCCCCACGACGGGCCCAAGAGGGAGAGCCCAAGACGGGCCTACGCGCTCCGCAAGATGGCCCCAAGAGGAGCCCAAGAGGGGGAACCCGAACTGATAATTTCGAGCCCTTTTACACAACGTGGCCCCCCGAGAACGCCAGCAGGCCCCCAAGATGCCCAACGAGGCCTGCAAGTGGCCCCAACAAATCTCAAAGAGGCCCCTAAGATGCACCCAAGAAGACCTGAAGAGGCCTGCAAAGAGCCCCCCATGGAGTCCCCCATGAGATGCATCCAACAAGCCCCGTACCAAGGATTCAAGCACGGTGGCGGGATGCACTGGACTATCAGATGACACACTCCATAGTGTTTTTTCCCCATATCCTAAGATGGGGTTCTTGTTATTACTTGGACGCCTCCTACTCCTCCTCCTCCCTTCTCCTCTTTCCTCCCCCCCTCCTGTCGGAGTTACTCATACTCAGACTTGCTCATACACATACTTACTCATACTCAGACTTACTCATACTCAGACCTACTCATACTCAGACTTACTCACACTCAGACATACTCATACACAGACTTACTCATACACAGACTTACTCGTACACAGATTTGGAGGATGTCTCGAGCGAGGCGCTCATTTCAGCACCCCTGAGGGGAGCCGCCAGGGGTGTTTGCACGGGCTCGTTCGCGGCCATTTTGTGGGGATGTCTCAGGCGGTTTGCCTGTTTCTGGGCCCAACATCCTTTGCTTTCGGAGCAGATTTGGAGGATGTCTCGAGCGAGGCGCTCATTTCAGCACCCCTAAGGGGAGCCGCCAGGGGTGGTTGCACGGGCTCGTTCGCGGCCATTTTGTGGGGATGTCTCAGGCGGTTTGCCTGTTTCTGGCCCAACATCCTTCGCTTTCGGAGCAGATTTGGAGGATGTCTCGAGCGAGGCGCTCATTTCAGCACCCCTAAGGGGAGCCGCCAGGGGTGGTTGCACGGGCTCGTTCGCGGCCATTTTGTGGGGATGTCTCAGGCGGTTTGCCTGTTTCTGTGCCCAACATCCTTCGCTTTCGGAGCAGATTTGGAGGATGTCTCGAGCGAGGCGCTCATTTCAGCACCCCTAAGGGGAGCCGCCAGGGGTGGTTGCACGGGCTCGTTCGCGGCCATTTTGTGGGGATGTCTCAGGCGGTTTGCTTGTTTCTGGGCCAACATCCTTCGCTTTCGGAGCAGATTTGGAGGATGTCTCGAGCGAGGCGCTCATTTTCACCCCCCAGGTGGGCCAGATTTTGAGGATGTCTCGATCGGTTTGCTTGTTTTGGTGGCCAGGCTCGTGGGCGCAGATTCTTCTCAGGATGCCACAGGAGGCTCCAACAGGCTCCAGGAGGCCCCAGGAGACCACATGAGGTCCCAGGAGGCATCAGGAGGCCACAGAAAGACTCAAGAGGCCACAGGATGTCCCAAGAGGCTCCAGGAGGCCCCAGGAAGCTCCAGAAGGCCTCAGGAAACCACAGGAGGCCCCAGGAGGCAACAGGAAGCGCCAGGAGGCCTCGGAAGGCAACAGGAGGCCCCGAGAGGCCCCAGGAGCAGGAGGCCTCAGAAGGCAACAGGAGTGGCTCCAATCCCATGTGTTTTACGTATGCTCCTATCGATTGGGCCTCACCTGGAGCACGATTCTTTGATGTTCTACGTATGTTTCTATAGATGGTCCTTCTCCTGTGTACACAATCCTAAATGTTTTACTCATGTTACTATGTATTGGGCCTCTCCTGGGGCACGAGTCCGTGGTGTTTTACGCGTGTTCCTATAGATTGCCCTTCTCCTGTGGCTCTAATCCGCAATGTTTTATGTACGTCTGTTGCTATATATTGCGCCTCTCCTGAGGCACGAAACCTTCCTAGGAGGTCCCAGGAGGTCCCAAGAGGCTCCTGGAGAACCCAGGAAGCCCCAGTAGGTTTCAGGAGGCCCCAGGAGGCCCCAGGCTCATGCACAGAGACGCGCTCGTACTACTGAGGCTCATTCACACTCCAATTCATTCGCAGTTAGATTGATGTCCAGACCGTCACAACTGAAGCCCGTTAATATTCGAAAGCTCTTGCGCCTAGACATTCACGGCGGACAGGTCCATGCGAGTAGATGCACATATGGGGAGCTCCACGCAGTGAATAATTGCTTGTGTCGAGAAGTGCCAACATGCCATCGCGGTGTGTAACGTTCGATGGCTGCTCCCCGACCCCCCCCCCGGGCTCCCTCAAGCGCGGTGGCGGATTCGCGCGGCAGCGCAACTGGATACAAAGCCACAGCCTGGAGTTTGGCACGCCGTCTGCTCTGCACAGCTCCCACCCCGAACGCACCCGTCTCAGTGCTCGTACTGGATCGCCGCGCGGGACCCCGCCTCGATCACTTCCTTGACCTGGGCCAGCACCGCGAGGTGGTCTGGGTGGCCAGCGTACTCCTCGTAGGCGTCGGCGTCTTCGAAGTCGCACCACCACACGAAGTCGCGATTCTTGCCCGCGGGGTGAGACCGACCGCTGGGCAGCAGCGAGTCCAGGCCAGTCTGGTGCTGCCTGATCTGGGGGATCTTCCCAGGCATCGCGTCGAACGCCGCCTTGAGGTCCACCTTCTGGGGAAACGAAAAAGGAAACGATACCGCAACTCCCTTGTCATCTCCTGGGGTGCGCTCTGACCACAATTTCGAGGCGAACCCAGCGGCGGCGACGAGAGCCTACCGGCAGGCCCAACAAGGGCAGAAGGCGGCGAGGGCAGCGGTATCGGTGGAGTCAAGGCCGATAGAAAGGATGCGCGGTGCTGATGCAAGCCCCTTGGACGCCCATGTCGAGGCTTTTCGGGCGCGGCGGGCCGTTGGAAGTCATTGAGGATGGGGCAGAGAGGCACGGGTGGATGGCTACACACCTACCATCGGCTTCGACTGTACGCCGTCCTCCTCCGGCCTTCTGCTGCTGCGTGACGCCGTCCCGGAAGCCGAACATCACCACGTGCCGCACGAGGCCTCGGGCCTGCACGCGCCGGGCGGCCAGCCCCGCAGCGGCCCCCCCGCGCCCGGCGAGGCCCTGGGCGGCACCGGGCCCCGAGCTGGCGAGCCGCGCCGCAAGTGCGGACGCCAT